GCGGGCGATTTACCGAGCACCGACAGGTTGGCTCCGCCGACGGCGGCGGCTGGACCGCGGCGCCGCATGTGCGCTGCCTCGTCGGCGCCGAGGGCGAGGCTGCCTTCGCCGCCGCCGCCTGCCCCTCCGCCGCCCTCGCCGCCGCCGCCGTCGCTGTCGCCCCCACCGCCTCCCACGCCGCCGCCTCCGGCACCGCCGCCGCCGGCCCCTCCGCCGCCCTCGCAGAGCAGGCGACGCACGTCCCCGCAGCGGCCGCTTGGGGTGCCGGTCTGCCCACGGGGTGCTCCGCTTGGGGCGCGCTCGCGGTGGTCGCGGAGATGCTGGGCGTGCCCGTGCCAGAGGGCGCCGAGACGGAGGCGCACCGGCCGGCCAAGCGAGGGGGGCAGGCACGCCGCCGCGGCGGCAGAGGCGGGGCGGGACGGCCCGGGGAGGTGTGGCGTGTGTCTATTGGGTAGGCTGCCGGCGTGACGTTTGCGCTGCTCCTCAAGGAGGTGCAGGAGGCGGCGCCCCGCCTCAACGTGACCGTCCTTTCCGTCAAGGCGGCGGTCGAGCGGAGGCGCGCCTGCGGTGAACGGCGTCTCTTCACGCCGTTGTCTGTGAGCAGGAGATGGTCGAGCGGGCGGCAGGCGTGACGCTCCGCAAGGGCTCCGTCACATGGAGCCGCGTCGTCCAGACGCTCGCCGCCAACGTCTCCAAGGAGCAGCTGCGCGCCATCCTCCTGCCGAACGGCGTCCCCGCCGCGGGGCGCTCCGCCGCCGTCACCGCTTGGGGCGCGCTCGCGGTGGTCGCGGAGATGCTGGGCGTGCCCGTGCCAGAGGGCGCCGAGACGGAGGCGCACCGGCCGGCCAAGCGAGGGGGGCAGGCACGCCGCCGCGGCGGCAGAGGCGGGGCGGGAGGCGGCCCGGGGAGGTGTGGCGTGTGTCTATTGGGTAGGCTGCCGGCGTGACGTTTGCGCTGCTCCTCAAGGAGGTGCAGGAGGCGGCGCCCCGCCTCAACGTGACCGCCCTTTCCGTCAAGGCGGCGGTCGAGCGGAGGCGCGCCTGCGGTGAACGGCGTCTCTTCACGCCGTTGTCTGTGAGCAGGAGATGGTCGAGCGGGCGGCAGGCGTGACGCTCCGCAAGGGCTCCGACTGGAGCCGCCTCGTCCAGACGCTCGCCGCCAACGTCTCCAAGGAGCAGCTGCGCGCCAGCCTCCTGCCGAACGGCGTCCCCGCCGCGGGGCGCTCCGCCGCTTTCACCGCTTGGGGCGCGCTCGCGGTGGTCGCGGAGATGCTGGGCGTGCCCGTGCCAGAGGGCGCCGAGACGGAGGCGCACCGGCCGGCCAAGCGAGGGGGGCAGGCACGCCGCCGCGGCGGCAGAGGCGGGGCGGGACGGCCCGGGGAGGTGTGGCGTGTGTCTATTGGGTAGGCTGCCGGCGTGGCGTTTGCGCTGCTCCTCAAGGAGGTGCAGGAGACGGCGCGCCGCCACAACGTGACCGTCCTTTCCGTCAAGGCGGCGGTCGAGCGGAGGCGCGCCTGCGGTGAACGGCGTCTCTTCACGCCGTTGTCTGTGAGCAGGAGATGGTCGAGCGGGCGGCAGGCGTGACGCTCCGCAAGGGCTCCGTCACATGGAGCGTCCTCGTCCAGACGCTCGCCGCCAACGTCTCCAAGGAGCAGCTGCGCGCCAGCCTCCTGCCGAACGAGGAGGACGAGACGATGCGCGAGGCCGACATCGACGGCGACGGACAGACCAACTACTAGGAGGTAGGCCCCGAGATTTCGACGGGATTGAGCCGTGATGCCGATAGACTGAGGAGAGGAGATATGGCCATATGTCGTCTGAATCTCGGCTGAATCTCGGCTGTATCTCGGCTGTATCTCGCCTCGGGCTGCGACGACACGTCACCGCCCTTGGCTGCGACGCAGACGCGCGACCCCACTAGGTGGCGTCAACGGGCACGCGCGTGCGCGAACCTGCAGGGCGTGG